GCCGCAACAGTCGCAGAAGAATTTCCGTTATGAATTGCCATTTTCTCACTGTAAACAACAGAAGAATTCAATTAATGGCAAAACCAGAACAGTAAACAATACTGTTATTAACAAAAAAATAGTATGTATAAGAAATAAAACCGAAGTTTTTTTTATATACTGTTTCACAGAAAACGATGAAGCTTTTATGTTCTTCAAATCGTATCCTGAATTTCAATACTCTGATGAAATTTTTATATCTTCAAATCAGAATAGTAAAATTCAGAAGGAGTAGAAAACCACATAGTTTTTAATCTCCACAAATAAAATACAGAATAAAATAATTTCCTTAAGATTGTTATAGTTTTGTATTGTTGTAATAAACAATTAAACTTTCTGAAATATATAAACAAAACAGAAAGTTAGTAATACTTGTTTACGAAATAAATTCTGGAAAAACAGTATAGGAATAAATCGAGCCCACTGAATACACAGTGTGTCCTTAAGGAAATTATTTCCCTCAAGTACCCGAGGCGCTGGAATATATCCTCACAGGATAGAACGATTTAACTCACCGGAGTGTTGGTACTAAAATGCCGGTGAACATCGAGCCACTCGAAGGCTGTAAAACACACTGAATTTTTGTGCAGAAGAAGTAGAAGAAGAAGCTCAGAAAATTTCGTAAGGAAAGATTCTGGGATTCAAACTCTATTTATAGAGTTGCTGGCATTGTTTCTGAAAAGGTTTGCAACCTTTCAGAAACAGCCATACCTGTTGGAACAGAGTTGTTTGAAATATTGCGGGAAAATAAATGGAAGAAAATGGGCCTGACCGGACCGGGTCGCGGGTCATGAGTTATTCCGGATTGAATTTTTCGTTAATTATTTAATTAATTAAATAAATAATTGAAAGGAATTTTGTCCAAAAAAATTAATCAATCAATCTTTGACCGAAGCCGAGCCGAGCGAGCGACGACGACGACGGCACGAGGCTTGCCTTCTTCTTAACTCTTTAAGAGCTAGAAGAAGAGCAATTATATATATACCCATCAAAAGCCTTTTCTTCCTCTAATATGGGACAATGTTCCTTTGCCAAGGAGAGAAACTAAAATATTTCATTTTTCTTCCATTTCTCATTCACCCTCTTTAAGCTACACAAGCTTAAAATCCCAACAAAAATAACTTAGCCGCATCTCCTAGACCTCATTTCTCAAATTTATTTTATGATGATTGATGTGATGATATAATGGACTATGTGGACTATTATGGCTCATGAGATAAGATTTTACTCACTTTCATTTTAACGCCGGTTTGTTCTCAAATTGCTTGCTTTCTTTGTGGATTTATATGCAAATAATTTGCGATGCCAGTTAGGGAATGAATCTTAATGCTTTTTTTGTTTTAGTAAAACGTTTGTTTGGATAGTTAAAAATAATAAATTGGAACAGAAATTGTTTCATTTCTTGTGGAAAAAACCCATAGCCATGATAACTTTGTTTTTCTTTCATGACTGTCGCTCCTTTTAATAAAATTTCCCTTCCCATTATGTTTTCTCATTTTTTTAAATCTAATTTAATTTCTGAAAGTGTGTGTGCTTTAGAGAAATAGTTTGTTTTCCCATGTTAGTTTTTAGTTCACGTTGGTTTACTGTTCCATTTGTTTAGTCATAGAAATTGCTAAGATGTATGGTCAATTAGTCTTAAAAGAGAACTTGGGCCTAAGTTGTTTAAAGCATTCATGTGGGCTTAGGTGAAAAGATTAAGGGCCTTCGATGTTTGATAGGAAAATAATTTTGAACATAGTAGCTTGCTTTAAGCGCGATTAATAATAAATCATTGTGACTATGAGTACGGTTCCCCCGGCATTGTCATGATGTACAATCCCAAATTTGAGTGCGCGTTTCGCGCGACTTGACCACAACTTCAAATAATAATAATAAACATGGTGTAAATCCTGATACACCCCTTTTCTACCCCCAAAAAGATATGTATTATGGATTATTATGGGTTAAAGAATTTTTCCAATTAAAGTGATAAATTTGAGTAGGGATTATTTTATTTGCAGAGCCGCCACTTGGAATTGATTTTTTTTTTTGGTGTTCCAAGTCACCTTTTATTTGAATCCCTAGTCAAAGAAAGGTTTGACTCTATTATTATTGGTCTGCAAAAATAAAGTCCGGGTAAGGAATTCTGTTGACCAGGGAGAAGGTGTAAGGCATTCCCCGAGTCTCGTAGTTCTAGCACAGTCGCTTTATTGACTACATTTGGCTTGAATTAATTTTGAATAAACTGCGATTTATTGGTTTTCATGTTTTATCTATCCGCTTTTAATTATTAAAATATGAAATTATCTTTGAAACGAATCACGTGTGTGAATCCGTTTTGTTTATTGTGCCAAAATCATGTCACGCGTACGTGTACACAATTAATAGCACTTTATTATTAAGATTGTTTTTGCCAAAGTTAACACATACTTCGGTTTTATTTTTGAAAATCACAATTATGCCACGCGAACGTATACATAATCGCGATAAACTAATTAAAGGCGTGCCTAAAGCACTCTATCAGTGTTCATTATTCTTCCTATATTTTTGAGATTATTGTAAGGTCATAAATTATGGAATTACTTGTAGAAGAAGTGTATGATTTTAGATATTTGAATAAATAAACCATCATCTACCAATACCCTACGATCCAACAATTGAAGCCCAAATTTATTAAGGTCCAAATCTTTTCAACTTTAAAGCAAGTTTGAATACCATATTTTCATAAACATGATTAAGTATATAACATTTAAGGACTAATTTACATTATTATTTATAAAGTTTAAAGGCAAATAAATAAAATCACATGAAATAAGATTAAAAGAATAGAGAAAAGAATAAACCTTAAATGCAAATTTTCCAATTAAATGAGTTTCCAAGAACATGTACAGTAACTCAGACGAATATTGAACAAGCATAAGCGAAGAAAAACATCAAAGCAAGTGAACGGAGCTCCAACGGAATCCTCGATCTCGACTATTGACTTCACTTTTTGGCGTGTAAAAAGGGATGTTATGAAGTTTTTTATTGGGTTTTGGTTGATGAATAGCTAGATTTTGCGAAAAGAAGAGACGAAAAAAGAATGACACGAGTAGAAATTTCCTTAGCATAGAAGAAGAAAACAAAATTCTCTCAATTCCCTCCTCTTTTTGTTTTCCTTCTTCTCTCCCCCTCACATTTCTCTTCTATTTATAGAAAAAAAAAATCGGAATTTTTTCAGATTTTTTGTTTTTTATTTTATTATTTTATTACTTTTTAATTAAAAAGAATTCTCACTTCCCATTTTTCTTCTTTTTTAAAAAAAATAATTTCCCAATTTTCTTTACTTTTATTTTTTTAATTTTTCACTTTTTTTACTTTACTTCTGTTTTATTTTTTATTTATTTTACTTTTCTTTTTTAATTTTCACTTATTTTACTTTTCTTTTTTAAATTCACTTTCTTTTACTTTTTTTTAAAATATTTCAGCTACCTTTACTTTTATTTTTTAATTTCATCTTTCTTTTATTTTTTATTTTTTTAAATTTCCACATTCTTTTACTTTTATTTTTAAAATTTTTCACTTTCTTTTACTTTTAAAAAAATAATAATTTTCATCTACTTTTACTTTTTATTTTTTATTCCATAATTATTATTTTTCTATTATTTTATTCCCATCCAAAAATTAAAAAAAAAATTATTTTTTTTGGTTTTTTAAAATTTATTTTATTTTAAAATAAAGATAAAAAATAAAAAAAATACTAATAGTAATAATTTGCCCTTTTAAATTATTTTTAATTCTTACTCTATATTAAAAAAATATAACAAGGCTAAAAAAATATATATTACATTTCTAAAAATATTTACATAGTAGAAGGTGGTAAAAATTCAAATATAGTCAAAATTTAGGTGTTCACAAATCCCGGGTGCGTTTCACGTGACGCGTTTTGCAATGTGTACCAAAACGACAATTGTACGACATCGTAACTTGTTCAAAAATAGCTTCATAAATACTAAAAAGCGGTTAAGTAAATAATTAAAAGCGGTAAAGAGTAAAATACACAATAGGTCTAAAATATGTAATTAGATAATTAAGACATGTATTAATTGTTAAGCGACCATGCTAAAACCACGGAACTCGGGAGTGCCTTACACCTTCTCCCGGGTTAACATAATTTCTTACCCGGTCTTCTATGTTCGCGGACCATAAATAGAGTCAACTTTCCTCGATTTGGGATTTTAAAATAAACCGGTGACTTTGGACACCATAATAATTATTCCAAGTGGCGACTCTGATTAAATAAATAATCTCATTTCGAATAATGTCACTTTAATTGGAAAAACTCTCCTATCCCTCGAGAAAAAAAAGGTGCGACAATCCATATTTTGAGTAATCATTTGTGAAAGTCACAAAATACTCAAAGCCACCTCTTGCTTGTATATTCATAGGGCCACACAAATCAGAGTGAATTAATTCTAACTTATCACTGGCTCTATTTCCTTTTGAGAAAAAATGTCTCTCAGTCATTTTACCTTCTAAACAAGATTCACATATTGGCAATGCCTCCACTTTCAATGAACTCAAAGGTCCATCAGAGACCAATCTCGAAATCTTATTTAAATTTATATGACCTAGACATAAGTGCCACAAAAAAGTTTGGCTCAATTCAGAAATACGTTTTCTTTTACGTGGCAGATTAATGTTATTTAATTCTTTTGGTTGTAGCACATGAGGAGATATATCAAGAATAAAAAGGTCATGTACTCTAGCAGCAGTGTAGATAAAATATTTATTAAACTTAATAACAGCAGAGTTATTAGCAAAATAAACATTATAACCTGCATCCATTATTTTTGAAACCGAAATTCCTTCTAATAGAAGGTACATAGATAACATCTTTCAAAACTAAAACTCTATCACTACTAAACGAAACTCTAATATCTCATAATGCTAAGGCTGGTATTGGCTCGCCATTGGCTTGAAAAACGCAAACTTCATTCTCAGTTAGCCGTCGCGTTTCCTGAAACCCATGCAAAGTAGTGCAGATATGATGCTCCTGAATCTACACACCAAAACATGGTAGAGATAGTCGCTAAACAAGTTTCAACGACATTTAAATTCGAATTACCTTGCTTATTCAACTTTGCTAGATAGACAGGGCATTGCTTTTTGTGATGCCTAGGTTGCTTGCAATGATAGCACATTTCTTTGAAATTTTTCACACCAGCCGCACCTCCAGGTGCCAAAACCTTTTGAGCCTTCTTTTTTTTTTTTTTTTCTTACCGCCTTTCGACTTAGAAATCGAAGCTTTCTCAACATTCAGTGCCACAACTGGAGCTTGTTGTTTGATAATAGATTTTGCCGCTTGCAGCTCATTCAACAATTTCGCCTGTGAAAAATCTATTTTGTTCATATTATAGTTCAAGAGAAATTGTTGAAAACTATCACGCAGAGTCTGCAGGACCATATCAACTTGATATTCCTTATCAATCACAGCTCCAAGGACCTCCAGTTCGTTAAGAAGACCCATCATCTTCAGAACATGGTCCCTGACCGATGATCCTTCAGTTATCTTGGTGTTCAAAAGGGCTTTCATGGTTGTCTGCTTAGCCGCACGATTTTGCTCACCAAACATCTCTTTCAGACTTTCCAGCATATCATAAGCAGACCCCATCGACCGATGCTGATGTTGCAAAATATTTGCCATAGAGGCGAGAATGTAACATCGCGCAATCTCATCAGCCTTGACCCATTTGTCATAGGCCTTAACCTGATCATCAGTAGCATCTTCATCAGGTTTTTCTGGGCACTCCTCAGTGATTACAAATTTATAACCTTCAGCAGTTAGGACAATATCAAGGTTCCTTTTCCAGTAAACAACATTCGGTCCTTCCAACTTGTTTTGGTTCAAGATTTGAGGTAAGTGGGTTGAATGAAGACATGATTAATCTGAGAGATATTCACATTAAATAGATCATTAGTTATATAATTAGAATAATTAAATTCAAAATAACACATTACACATATAACCATGCTCATTGAACAGTTAGATTCGTTAAGAAAATTTAACTATTCATGCAAAATATATGAGTTATGTAAAGTATTTATCCCATAAATTAAAACGGTACCAACTCAAATGGAGAGTAATCTATTAATTTAAGATAGGTAAATATCGCTTTTAGATACTCAAGTTTCATTGAATCAACATGTAACTCGGTTGGAGAGTTAATACAAGTAATCAAATAACTAGAGGCAAAACTAAAATAATGATCGATAATGAACTTATCCGATGTGGAAGAAAACCTATGTCAACATATAAATTCATTATATTACTGTAAAACATGACTGGAAACAATGGGAATTGAACCCTACCATCACTGTTTTCTTTAAAAAAAATTGATACCAATTGTTAGAACATGCGCAGCGGAAGCAAGCATATAACCCAGATATCACAAACATATAAACTAGACAGTGATATAATTACGAGATTAGAAGCACTAACTTCTTAAAAATATTGTACAGATCCTCCATAGAACAAGAATACATGGTTGCAGTTTTCTGCTATGCTCCTAGTAAGACCTTGAACGGAATTGTTTTGAGTAGGCAAAAACAATACAACTCTAAAAGTGAGTTATTGAGTGAAAAACGTCTTCCTTATGTAGACCCGAAATTCAGCCAAAAGGGGGGCTAAAAACGTGTAGGATTCTTCTTGCAACTACTTTAACTCCACAATAATGGGGAGTTTATTTCGCCAATTATTAGAATATGCGCAGTGGAAGCAAACAAACAATCCAGACATCGCAAACATATAAACTAGATAATGATATAATTCGGAGATTAGAAACCACTAACGAATGAAACTGCTTCAAGTACGGGAGAATAAACGAAGTGCAATGGGTTAAGCATATGTATTTTTCTGTATTTTACAGTGTATGAATTTTTCCTGCCCAGTGGCTAAGATCGCAAATCGCAATTTTATTCATATGGTGTCACTAGTTTGATATTGATCATTCTCTAATCCCCAATTAAATATGCTAAAAATGACAAATCTAATATGCATAATTTGTTTTAGATTAAAATATAGTATATACTTTAAGAATTAGAAAAAACAAATTTATTTATGTCCGTTAAGTTAAAGTATTTTTTGGAACTTGTCGAACTTCTCAGCGAATATGTTCATTTACTTCTTCTCTTTTGGGTAAACTTGATAGTTATATGCTAAGCGTACCTACTTACATATAAACATAATATTACAGGCTTTATTTTTTTTTAAAAAATACATTTTTAAAGATGTCCGCCCAATGCCCATAATACATTAATTTGCAAATATCATAGGAACTGCCAAATTCTAAGCCTATTAAAAAACTGCATCCTAGCTCCTTCCTTTGCGAGTAGGTACGCCACCTGATTCTTTTTCCTATAGTTGTGTGGAAGACTTTCAAAAACTTCAAACTTTAGACTGACTAATCTGCTCTAGACAAGTTAATCAACTTTACTTGAGTTTCAAGAAAATTAACTAAATTATTTTTCGTATCTAAACTGAGAGTAACTCAATTAGATGTCTAAGTATCACAAAACAAAAAAGAATGAAACATTTAATTTGATACTTTGATAAAATTAAATGACGTTTAATTTGATTAGTATAAAAAATACTTATAAATATAGTTGGATGACTTTTTCATTAAAATAAATAGTAATCCCTACGTTCGATTTTAGTTATCAAATATTCTAAAAATTAATTTTAATTTTTACTTGTCACTTTTCGTATATCAAGAGAAAAATAATTTATTTTCTCTATTTTGTCCTTAGCGTTAATTACTCATTTCAAATCATTTTTCAAATCCATTAAGTCTGCACACCAATTAATATGAGTATCATGATAAATTATAGTAAATTATACACTTTATTTATTATTTTTTAAGGGGTATACAAAGTCAATAGTGGACAAGTAAAAGTAAACGGAGGGAGTACTAGATATACTCTCTTCGGTCCACAATAAAGTGACTATTTTACCTTTGACACACTCATTAAGAAAATACGAACTCTTAGAAAAAAAAAGATGTATTCACTAAATTAAACTTAATTAATTATTATTTTGACACATTGTACTATGTAAATATGGGTAAATTTTGAAAAAGTAAAATTAATTCTTTTTTAATTATGTAAAATGATGGAGTATTATTTTGAATAAAAATAATAAGAAGATAAAATGTGGAGTGGAGTGAGTAGTAAAAAGTCAACAATGCTGGGACAAAGCTTCACGTGTGAAACTCTCCGGGTTGACGCATATCCCTATAAACTCTCTCAACCATACGCTTGAATAGAGTAGTTACTAGTCATTACTCATTAAGTACAGTACCAACTCCATATCCACACAAATTTGCAGTACAAAAACATTCCGTCATTCAAATCAATCTTTCACTTGGCTTTGTTTATTCCTAATTCTTCACCACTCCCGCCATTGAAATTTATACTATATCTTCAGGAATATATTTAACTATTGCAAAAGAAGGAAGAAGATAAATGCGGACTGAATATTAACAAGAATCCGAAGCTTGTTTATCCTTGCTAAAATATGGTCCAGCAATCAGCCTGTTTCGAGATTCACTTCATCTATTTTTGGAGAAAAGATTCAGCACTCTTACTTTTTCAGGTCAGAAAAAATAATAATTTGTTCCTCCCATTATATATATTCGTTAGAGATGATTATTCTGATTCTTCTTCTTCTGCTGCTGCTGCCTTTTAGTTTAATTAATTTCCTTATAATGGTAAAAGCTTTTCCTTTTTCTTTCTTTATAGGATTAGAATATATCATGGGCTTCTTCTGATGCTTGAGTTAGCAACCACTAGATACTCAAAGTCAAGATATCAATATCCCGGTATTGAAGAAGGTAGTTTGATAGCACATATGCCTGTAACGAGTCTTCATCACTATACAAGGGTTGTGGCCGGTCAAATCAGTCAACTTTAATACTAGTACGAGCCTTAATTTTACCTTTTTCTCATTATTAATTAAGCCTTAATTTGAAAAACTTGGACCTTTGACGTGTATGTGTTACTATAGCAAGGGACATGTAATTGGCTTTGACACCTCTCTTTTTAGTCTGTTTTAATTATATAAATGCTTTGTTATATGTAGAAACAATTTTGATTTTATTCTTATTTATATCAAAAATCTTTTATTTGTTTCTTAAATTTTGTGTCTAGTAATTAAACACACTTGCATAAATTTACCAAAGGTATTATTTTCATTTCGGCTCTGGTTAATTAATTAGGAGAGACAAAAGATAGACACCGTGGTATGCCAAAAACTTTTTAGTTTAGTTACTAATTAAGTACTACTACTAGTACTTACTACAAACTCTTCTTTGATTCTATGAGAACAGGAGTTGAAGTGTTTAATCCAGGCATTCTTGGATGCAGATTCCTCCAATATTCCTTCTTCGACGTAAGGTACCATCTATAAATTTCTCGTTAAAGCCTAATCTAAAAATATTGCTTTTGATTCTTCCATATATTCCCAATGATGCTATAATTTGTGATGGAAAATAAGTAGCAACTTTTGGTGAATAAATACTGCAAATATATCTTGGGAATGTTCGGTAATATTAACTGGAAATCTTAATTAGCTTAACATTTCCCTAGTCAAACATCCATCAGAATCATTCCAGTTAGAGATAAGATGAAAACAGAACCAGTTAGCAACAGAGAATATCCTATATTCTAGATCAACCTTAGATATATGCTGCAAGAACATATCTTTCTAGCATTTAATATCTTACAGGTTTCGAACTATGCGGAACTCCTTTAAGTTACGACAAAAATGGTTGTTTTTGTTTGGCTTTCATATATGATTTTCTTAAATACTTATATGGAGTAACTGTATAAATATCTGCAGTCAATAATATTTAAAAGTTAAATTTAGTTCTAAAAGCTCTCAGTTGATGTGAAATGATAGAACTCAAATATTCTTCGTTTTAAAAAAAGAAAAAGAAAACAACCATCTATCATCTGCTGAGAGACGACTAATATATTCCTAAAATATAGATGTACCCAAGAATAGAACTAGTTTGATTAGTTGCAAATGGCACAAAGAACATTATATTTGCATCATATATATGTACTTGCTGATTTGATATACAAGCTGTAATCCATCCATACTATTGATATACAAGAGTGGATGGAAAAATGGGAATAAAGTTGATTATATTCTTTGTTTATTTGAATATATAATAATTAGAACATAAGCTGGCACTAGATGAAACTCTAAGAAAGGCTTGTGTAAGTACTCTTAAATCCTTAACTAGAGGTTTACAATTAATTACAAGTTTTGAGATATGAATTAACTTTTGATAAAGAGTACTCTATTGCCCGAAATTATAGTTAATTTCCGATACAAATCTAGACTAGTCAGACTCCAAAGTGGTAGTCATAAAGCGGGTCCAAACATCGGGTGGAAAGCTAAAAAAAAAATACTAAAAAGTGTTAGAGAATCAATTTAGACATCCCAAGACAAATAAGGTTAGGCCTTGAACATTTTCAAACTAAAACAAAGAGGAAAAAGAAGAAAAAAAGACGAGGAAGTGATCTTATTTTCTACAACATTGCCACTTGCAAGAGAATTCTCGAGGTAGTTCTAATAAGCCGTAATTAGGATTTTGAGTTTATGGGTTCTGTATTTTAGGAAATGTAGTTTACTGGATTTTAAATAAATAATTTATGCATATAATTTTTTTTTTAAACACAAATAGAGGGTCTAGGCCAAAACTGTTGAGTTTTACCGAACCTATACACAAGCTTGTGGCTCCGCCCCTATAAATATACCATCAATGTTGCTGAAGAGAACTTGAACATATTAAAGTGGTTTTACTCTTAGCAGTTATTTTTTTATCTCGGACCCGATGTTCGGTATCCGCTTTCTGGCTAATACGAATTCGTGCTGCATAAGGCATATTAAAAAAGCAAGCGACCTTACCAAAAACAATTTCATACTCACTAATTAAACCTGTGACTTATGATTAAGAGTGGATCTTGTCCAAAATCTCACAACCCTCTTGGTGATACTCTTTGACACTCCTTTCTTCACCGTAATGTACCTAATCTTATTTATCTGAATGGTGAGGAAAAGGAAGTTAGCAGCATTCTCAAAGCAAGTAGTTTTCTGCTATGTTGCTTGGACTCTTCAAAGATGTTGTTGGATGTATGTCGAATCCTCCAAATTTAATGTATTTTTGGAGAACCCGGCACAGATGCGGCAACACTTTTGGAGAGTTCTATGTGCAGCGTTCTTTTTGCTTGTATCTGCTGATTATACCCCAATTATTGTTTGATCAGTATATATTGCCTCTTTGCCGTTTATCCTTAGTTATATTTTTTCTCACTTTTTCAAGGAGAGTTTGCTTATTGCTTTCTTTTCATTGTTCTTGAGTCGAGGGTTTATCGGAAATAACCTCTCTATATTTATAAGGCATAGGCACGGTCAGCGTACGCATTACCCTCACCGGATCCCACTTGTAAAATTCCACCGGATTTGTTGTTGTTGTACTTTTCAAGGAGTGTGCCTCAATTAGCAAATTCTTGTATTCATTACTTTGTGGAAAACATCTAAAGACTAATTTTTGTTTGATTAAACTTTTATGTTTGAAGCCCTAACTCTAATGTCAATGCATAATTAAAATATCCTTTGAAAATCAACTTGATCTTTTAACCTTGCAACATTGACCTTTTCCACGTCCTATATGGCAATTTCTACCAAGAATGACTTCAATTCAAACATCTAGACAACAACAACAACAACCAAAGCCTCAGACTCAAACAAATTAGGGTCGGCTATATAATTTTCACTAACCATGTTACTTCATATAACTCATCTCCGGCCATACAATAGGAAGTAAAATAATATGTAATAATAGTTATAATACACAAAATAATAAACGAATAATAGTAATGAGTAGCTAATAATAATAATAATAAAAATAGGGTAAAATAATTTTAGACTACAATTTAGAGACGCGAAAGAAATGAAGAAGTAGAAGTATAATGAGTAGCTCAACTAATTAACGTTAAGATGATTTCAAACTTAATTAATCCTCTTTCTTTAAACCGAATGCAGTTGTCAAACTAGCTCGAACCCATTCTTTCTATATATTATTGACTAATATGTACCCGTAGAATTACTAAACAGTAATTACATCGATAATATACAAATACACAGAAAGAGATAGCGGGAGAGAAGAGAGAGGGAATTACATGTAATTGTAGCTTCATAGCATCCCCTTGAAAAGGCGTTTCTCTTCAGGTACATGGTAAATTAAGGACTAGAGAGATCCAGTGATCTGTTTAAGGAGAAGCTGCAAAGGCACAAAATTAAGATAAGCATATAGTTTTATAGCATTATTTAAGTAAACATTAAAGTTGATAGATAACCTGTTAAAGCATAGAAATTCAGGAGTATATATCTTACAAATCAAGCGAAAACCAACAATCTGGACATTATTCTATGCTTAGCGCTAATCTTGTGAATACATAAACTATTAATCTCAGATCTTCTGTAATCTGACAAAAGCTGCACAACAAAAGAGGACTGCAAAAGTAGCACTCGGTTATGTGAATCATGACCCCACCTTCCAATTTCTTTCCTTTTATAGAAGTTTGTTTTTGCAAGAAATATCCCCAATAAGAAAACCTAAATTATGAGATACGGAGATAATTTAGAAGAAATGGAAGAAAGAGAGCGAAAGAGCGGTGAAGGTGATGACGGAAGCATAGAGAGCACAAATGAATTGAGATGCTTTTTTTTTTTGCAGTTTAATTGATTCAGTGCCCTCTCCAATCCCAGATTTAGCAGCATGATCATCATCTGTGCTCTCTATCTTCTGTCAACAATCTCACACCGACTCTTGCCCTTCTTCCATACAAAGTAGAAGTAGCGCCGCAGTACCGGTTCATTTGACCTTGATACTTCATAAATTGATATGTAAAATTCTATTCAAATTGTAACAAATAATAGGTCTGAACCTATAATAAAATAAAATTATGCGCATAGAAGTTAAATCATGCATCGCTTTTGATTCTATGTACAGAAAAGAGTTGTGGAAAGAAAAGCAGCAAATATAGTAGTTGATGTTTTATTCTTTTATCACGAACAAGAAAATGAAGGGCAAGATTTTTCTTTGAGGATGGTGGGTGGGTGAGTGATTGTGGCTGGTGTTTAATGCAGAACGAGTTGTGGTAGGGCTACTTTTTGGGATGGGGAAATATAATAATTTGTGGTGGACTGCCCCATTTAGGACTAGCAGCGGCGGGGAACTTATTTATAGAAACAAATATGTGTGGGAATTAAATGCCCTGNGGGGGGTGGTAACCCTAACTTCAGATCAAGCTATTTTGAGTATGGGGTATGGATTCCCAGCAGAAAGTTTCTCCGTCTTAGCACATGTAAATTCGGATGAGTCGAGACGTCATTACAATTTACACATATCGGACGCCGAGTAGGAAATCAAATAAAAAACATTTGGTTATTGCATATTGAAAGTGCTCAGTAAACGTTACAAAATGATAGCATACATTAACAGGAGGTAAAAAGTTTCTCTTGTAGAAATAGTCAAATAACAAAAGAAGATCTTAATTTTCATTATTTTCTCGAAAGTCAATTAATTGTCTTTCCGAGGGGACTTTCTACCGTCAAATTAAATTAATAAATTGATAATGTATGAGATTACAGATGATATTATATAGTACTATGTGGCTTTGACAAGTACCTGGGAGCTAGATTTGAAAGAAAGTGTGAAACCGACATAAAATGAAAACATCATTTCCCCATCATTCTTTGGTTGTAACTTACAATCTTTAATTTACTGCTGCATCATGCGAGTTTAATGGTTCCTTTAACTGAATATTTCACCTTATTCTTCTACTCCAAGATCCTAAACAACTTTGTTGTATTACTCGGGAAGAATTTTGCAAATATTAGAGATTTGTGGTTGGGTTTGGTAAAACCCCTTCCAAATTCGAAAGTAGGTCCTTTCTTCTTCTTTAGATTGTCTCGGCTAAATAATTGATTAATGGGTACCATTATAAGTATTTTTAGGAATTATATTTCAATAAAAACAAATAGTGTCCATCTGTCTTGATATGGTTCTTAATAATACACGTGTTTCAGTTTATATGGCAGCATTTCTTTTTTAGTTTGTTAAAAGAAGAATGATAACATTTTAAATTTAAAATAATTTAATCTAAACTTCTCGTTTTACCTTTAATATCTTCAATAACAAGTTGTTATGGTCACTCAAATATTGTGTCATATTTAAGATCACGAGTTTCAGAAGTCTTAATAGCTGCACAAATATTATGAAAATGTTACAACAAATTTGAAAAATCTTATAAACACACAAATTTTGTGACATGTTTGAAATCACAAATTAACAAGGCTTTCGTTTTTCTATTGAACTTTTGTGCCCAGTTAAAATTCCTAGCTGGTTTTCAGATGGATAAATCTAGACAGACTTGTGGGAAAATTATCACAATTCCCATCGTAACGAATGACCAGATATTTATGCATTCTCTTAAATTTATTTTTCTTCTTTTTGATTTATATGGTAAGAAGATAGAAGAAATGAGGTGTACGTGAGAAGGAAAGATTCACACTGTTGGCATTTTAATTGAATGCAAGTTGCAAGAAACAAGGAGCAGAAAAAATTCCAAAAGCGACCCTCAAATACACATACCTTTCCTAATCCAACCTAAACTTTTGTTGAGTTTACGTCGTTGGTGATGTGGATGATGTGACTCTTCTTATGGGGAGCTCGACATTGGAAAAATATATAGTCGACTTTTAAAATAATAGTCGATATATATATATATATATATA